TGATTTCAGGCTTGGGGTCCACGTTTCGCACCCATAGGTTAGCACACACTGATTTTAAATATTCCGTTTTAAGCGCGAGGTCAGTTTCTCACCGGAGTGTGTTCGGGGAGGGCTGATATTTTCGGATATGCAAAGGTCTCCATGGCATTTTTATTTTTCTCTTGATTTCCCATTGTTGGTTCTCCGTTGCAGAGATGAGCTGTCCTACATAAACATGCCGTAGCCTCTCTAGCTGCCTGAGTGAGCCTTCCTGACAGGCTTTCACGACTGTCATCACTGTTCAGGAGGATGCGCTCGTCCATACTTCACTGTTTCGTGCGATTGCTACATTATTTCTACACACTGATGTTGATAATAGTGCTGATATGTTAAATGCGCTGATACTGGAAAAGTTTTGATGTAGATTCTGATATTAATTATGATAAATAAGATAATAAAATTTACGTACGGGGGAGGGGTAAAGTTATTGTGAACTGAAGCCATGGACTCCGACATTAAAGGTGCAAGCAAGTGGTTAAACGTAAACCGATTATTTGGATTAAACATAAACTTTCTAATCATATTAAAATGAAGCCCGTATGTGTAGCGCTAAATAGTGCATAGCGCCGTATGACGAGTGATGACAGCTGATCGACTGACTGTAACTCAACGCAGATGGTGGCCCTGCGAGATTGCCAAACCTGCTCAGCCAGCAGCATGCAGGACAACGTTGTTACTTCTGTTTTTCTAGCCTTGGACAACGTTGACAGCAGCAGGCAAACTGTTACCGCTGTTACGTTTTAATGTTGCTGTGACTAATGTTTTTTAGATCAGTATGACTTAAAAACATGGAAGGACGTGTCACTCTCTGACTACTAGTCGCATCGTAAGCCGATCGTTTCATGATTCACGAAAACGGTTCACTGCCTTGGTCATTATTTGTTCTTTGCGGCTTAGTTTTTAAACATATTTTTGAAGGGCAACAAATTTACTTAATGATATTCAAATATGTTTAGTTGTGGCAATATGATAATTTTTTGTTCTCGTATTTTTTTAAACTTGCCTTTGATGAATTATCTTTGAATGTGAACGTTTAATCGTTGCTGTTTCTGTTCCAGATGCAGTGCCAGCTCAAAGGACAATGACGCAGCTGCTCTTTACAATCGACCACTTGGTTCGGTGCCATTGGCAAGCCACAGTTGTTTTCAGCAGTCAAGTTTGGCTTCGAAACTTCTAATCGCGGCTAAAGGTATGCAACCTGTGCTTTCCTTTTTCCGTCTGATTTTCAGACAGCTTGAACACACGGCATGTTTTTGGCACAATATGTGGAGCTGACACAATAAAGAATTTGGCTGTTTTTTTTCAAAGATGTTCACAATGAATTACTGCACAAAATTCGTTACTTTAGAAAAAGCATTTGCCTTTCCGAGTGACGAGTCACGACAGATGTTGGGTTGGGACTCGTACCTCACTTGATCTCTTGAAAGTAATACTGGTGGTGGTGAAGTCATTTGCATTGGCTAGTTGTCTCCTTTCGAACTCTGAGATATTCAGCATATGGGATTCAAAACATATTCATAAGAAATTCACTCATACAAACAACAACCTTGACTTTAATTTGTTGCTGTTTCATAGGGATCATCTGCGGTCAGCACAGCTTAAAAGCAGAGTAACCTTGATTTATTTTGACCATTAGAAATGATACTTAACATTGATATTAGACAGAGTTCACTGTTATGCTAGAGTTATATTCCTCTACGCAAGCAGATCTGTTTCAAAGAGGTTTTTCCATGTTTTGTATTGTATTCTCATGCATCTGCGACCAATTCACGATTCCCAAAACAGAAACGTTTTGAATATATTTCCATTCCCTTTCCGGGCCGTTTTATCAAATTAAGACAGACGCTGCTCTCTGAATTAATCTAATAGTTTTATCAGATCGGTTTTCATCAGCACCTGCTCATTCGTGATCCGATGATACCATCGCACTTTGAGAAGAGTTTATTGATTCAGTTGTTAGAAGCTGTATAGAGGAGATTCGTTACGCTTCAAGACGGCAGAAAGGTGTTTCGAGAATATTCATAAACACCGCAAATACGGTTGCTTCATAGACTGGTGATCTTCGTGTCCGTTTTTAAAGTTCGACCTTTCCGTATGTCACACAGCTGGCCAGGCTTCGTCCATGCGAGCCAAATACGCCTATTCACCGCACGATCAATATAACCATTGTTAGTCAACGCAGTTTCGAGGTACTTGAAATAGTTCATTTCGTCCATGGTAATATGATCGCATAATATCGTAGATTAACGCTCGCAACTGCGCCCTCATCATCTTCGTCATCTCGGCTTTGACTTTTTCGCTTCACTC